TCCCTCTCCCAGTCTCACTAAATATACACCACACAAGTGTTAACTTAGGCCTCATGTACAGGCAGTCCCCAGGTTACGTCAGCACGCTGAAGGGAGAAAGTCACACTGCTTAGGCAATAACTGCTTGAGCACATTTGGCCACCCAGGGACTTCAGGAGAGTACAAAAAGGGCAAAAAAATGTTAAAAAATCTGCCCTTACTGTGGCAACAGGTTTTCCCTTGCCTGCCTCACATTCCATGCTGCCTGACACATCTCACCTCACAGACCAACAGCTGTCTGCCAGCAATTTGTTTACAGTCAGCAGAGCTAACAATGCTGCATACTCCCCTCATTAGCCACAAGGACCACAAAGACCTGGCAATTTCTCCCACTTTACATTGGCCTAACTTGACTGATAACATACATCCTCAATCTCCATTCTCTGATTACTCTGACTTCCCCTCGCCTCTCTCTGAGGCCGAGGTAGAGTGTTTACCTGTTTTTTCACTTCAGCCATATATGGAGGGCTCTATGTGGTCTGCTTATCAGCAACAACCAGATTTTCTTGGAGCACAAATGGCTCCCTGGGCTCCTTATTTTTGGATGCCACAGCCTATGCTTTGCCCCCCACAGTAGCAAATGTTCAATCAACCACCTCAACAATGTAAAAAGAGGCCATATAAGACCAAGCATATGGCGAAACCCTGATCTCCTTTAAACTGTCACCCCACATCTCTATGAGGGGGACTGACAGTGAAAGCCATTGTTCTCCAGTGTCGGCTTCTACATCTCTACTACATTCAAACACAGCCTCAGCCATAGAGCAGGCAATGTTACCACCTACTACTCATACCACCGATGATCTCTCCTCTTTCCAAGATTTATTTTAAAGAATTGCTATTGATTTGAATATATCTAGGGAAGAAGTTCAGATTTCTCAACATGAACTCACTAATATCCTCCAGCCCAGTACAGCAATAAAAATGGCACTTCCTATTACTCCAGCCATCTTGGAGCCTGCTAAAACTCTATGGCAAACACCTGCATCCATCCCACCAACATGCAGGAAAGCCGATCGAAAATACTATGTTCCCCCCAAGGGTTCTCAATTTCTCTTTTCACACCCCTGATCCAACTCCCTCATAGTAGATGCTACACAGCAGAGGAACAAACAACAAAATCGTTCCATACCATCCGAAAAGGACAATAAACGTCTAGACATGTTCGGGAAAAAAGGTTTATGCCTCGGCCACTCTTCAGGTGAGAGGGGCAAACTATGCTGCTTTATTAAGTAAATACAACTTCAATAATTATACAACATTCAATACTTTTATTGAAGATATCCCCGGCAGCAAAAAGGCACGGTTTCAGGCTCTCGTCTCAGAAGGTCAGATAATATCACAAATAGCCCTGCAAGCCGAACTTGACGCAGTGGACACAGCTACAAGGACTACAGCAACAGCAGTCACTATAAGACGAGCCTCATGGTTCAACTCCTCTGCCTTTCCCCGCCAATTGCAACCGTTGGTAGAAGACCTTCCATTAGATGGAGAAAAGCTGTTTTCTGCAAACAGCAATGAGCTGCTCCAATCGATGAAAGATTCCAGAGCCATATTGCAGTCACTCTGTATCCAAACACCTATGACAAGACAGAGACAGTACAGGTACCAACCATATCAGAGACCTAGTTACCCACAACTCACTTACCAGTACCAGAGACAAGATCATGCCCCATATCACTAGAGGGGGCGCAACAGGCAGCACAGACATCGCCCTCAGACTAATAACCCCAACCGCTCATCCCAACCCAGCAAACAAAATTTGAAATAACAGTCGAGAGATGTAAAACTACACCATATGAAAACACCATATACAGAAAACAAGGAATCACAATTTACCCATACTTAGACGACTGCCTTATCAAAGCGAGGACCAGTCAAGACTGTTAACAAGATACCATTACTGTGATAACCTGCCTTCACTCATTAGGCTTCCTAGTAAATTACGGCAAATCAACACTCACACCAACCCAAACAATCCAGTTCATTGGAGCTCAGCTCAACTCGATCACAGCCAGAGCCTCTTTACTGACAGACAGATTCACTTGTATCAGTCACCTTGCAAAATCGCTTCAAGAGATGCCAGTAGTACTGCCTTCAACTATTAGGTCACATGGCATCATGCAATCCTGTGGTCCCAAGTGCACGTCTCTTTATGCGATGCCTCCAAGGTTAGCTTCAAAGCAAGTACAAGCCACACATCCATCATATTAACAAAATGCTCACACTACCACAACCAGTGAAAGCATTCCTACACTGGTGGACAAAATCATCTAACCTGTGCATAGACATTCCCTTTTGAACCCTGGACCCCTCTGTAGTTGTCACTGCAGACGCATCCCTTACGGGTTGGGGTGCCCATACAGAAGGCCGCACAGCACATGGCCTGTGGTCTCTGGCAGACCGCATGCTCTACATCAGTGCCCTCAAACTCAGGGCAGTTCGCCTGGCATGCCAAGAACTTTTGCCCAATGTCATGGGAATCCACGTAAAAATATATACAGACAACACTGCATGCATGTTCTATATAAACAGGCAAGACGATGCCCGATCACGCACTCTATGCCTGGAAGCTATAGCACTTTGGAATTGGTGTCTAGCCTGAGACCTTCATATATCCGCTTGCCACCTTCTTGGGGTCCTCAATTCAATGGCAGATGCCCTCAGAAGAGCCCTGCCACCAGAGAACGAATGGGAACTTGACTATGCTCTCCTCAGCGACATATTCAATTGATAGGGTCTCCCAGATATCTATTTAATTGCCACCTCAATCAACAAAAAATGCCCAAGTTATTGCCAGGGAGGTCATGGGCAAAGGGTCCTCCGGGGATGCTCTTGTTATAACCTGGAATGCACTCCTACATTACACTTTTTCCCCATTTCCTCTCCTCAACAGAGTCCTCGTAAAGATTCTGAATGACAAGGCAAAAGTTATCCTCATTGCGCCCTGCTGGCCCCAACAGCCGTGGTTTCCCCTCCTACACAGGCTAGCAGTACATCAACCAATCATGCTTGTGAACAATCCCAACATTCTCTGTCAACCAGGGATCATGCATCCTCACTCACAGTTTCACACTTTCCATCTCAAGGTGTGGTACCTAGATGGTCACGGGCATAGAACTGTGGTGCTCTCAACAAGTCCGTCATGTCCTCTTACAAAGCAGAGCACCTGCAACAAGAAAAACATACGTGAGCAAATGGACTTGACTTGTTCACTGGGCAACATCTTGTATCATACAACCGCAAGATGCTTCACTTCCTGCTGTATTGGAATACCTGTTACAACTCAAACAATCACATCTCTCCCTCAGCTCAATGAGGGTCCACCTAGCAGCCATTGCAACCTTCCACACAACAGTGGAAGTCACCACAGTCTTCGCACACCCAGTAACTAAGCGATTTTTGAAAAGTCTGCAGGCTCTATACTCAGAAGTGGCACCCCGTCAAGAGCCTTGAGACTTATGCTTAGTACTAACAACTCTCACAAAACCGCCATTTGAACCCATGGCGACATGTTCCCTATGCCATCTATCCTTAAAGATGGTATTCTTGGTAGCAATAATATCAGCCCACAGAGTGAGCAAGATGGCTGCCCTGATGGCAGAATCACCTTTCACAATCTTTTTCAAGGACTAGGTCACGATGCGACCGCACCCAAAATTCCTCCCCAAGGTGTGCTCCCCTTTTCATTTGAATCAGACAATATACTTACTAGTATTTTTTTTACAAAACCCCACGCTAATGCATTTGAAGCTCAGATGCACACCCTAGATGTCAGAAGGGCTCTCTCCTTCTACATCGACAGAACAAAACTTTTCAGATCCTCTTCTCAACTTTTCGTCTCCATCGCAGATCATAGTAAAGGAAAACAAATTTAATCACTGAGATTGTCACTTTGGATCGCAGAATGCATTGCTACTTGTTATTCGCTAAATGACCTACCTTCGCCAATTCCAATTCGGGCACATTCCACAAGGGCAGTCGCCACGTCCATTGCTTACCCGAGGAAAATCCCACTGCATGATATATGTGTAGCCGCCAAGTGGTTGTCAGAAAACACCTTTGCAAAACATTATGCACTCACCTCAGGACCCCTCCAGAATACCAAACTAGCAAAAGCTGTACTACAAATGGCATACTTACCTGATCCGAACTCCCTGCCTCCATAAGAAAATATTGCTTAAAGTCACCTGATGTGGAGCACTCCCAGGGACGCCTCTTGACAAAGAAAAGGAGGTTACTCACCTTCCTGTGATCTGAGGAAGTGGGTCTGGCCCACGAAAGCTTATCGCCTAATAAACCATCTTGTTAGTCTTTAAAGTGCTACATAGTCCTATTTTTTGTTTCTTCCTGTAACTGACATTCTTCGAGATGAAGGGAGGGGGGCTGTGCATGAGCTATAGTACTGAGGGAGGCTCCTACGCGCTGCGCATGCGCGGCCCCTGATACACTGCTGAGAAAAATCCGTCAAGAAGCGCTGGGGCACTCAACACTTGATGTGGAGCACCCTCAGGGACGCTCATCTCGAAGAATGTCAGTTACAGGAAGAAACAAAAAATAGGACTATGTAGCACTTTAAAGACTAACAAGATGGTTTATTAGGCGATAAGCTTTCGTGGGCCAGACCCACTTCCTCAGATCACAGGAAGGTGAGTAACCTCCTTTTTTGAGAATGTATTTATCTAAATTTTTATTAAGTCAGCCCAGTTAGTAATATATATATCTACCCTGGTAGAAGCTGGAAATATTCTACGTGTTTTTAAAATCCCATTGAGCTTCTGTCTACTAAGCTATGAATATATATGGGGTTTTTTTCTGATTATTTTACCAGTTTGTCTCAATTTTGTAAAGCCTGACCCACTCTGAATTCTTACAGCTATTTTTGATTTTGAGACATGACTTCAGAATATATCTGAATTGTGCTCTGTTTCAAAGTAGTAAATAAGATATATTATTTTTAGATTTGATGAATTTGATGAGGCAATTGATGAAGCAATAGAAGATGATATCAAAGAGGCTGATGGAGGAGGTATGTTTTTATTGCATATTATTGGTACTGTTAAAATGTTGACATGCTCGGCTGATATGACACACGTTGTTACTAAGCCTGAGGCAATCGTAGGATGCATTAGTAGGAGCATTGCGAGCAGATTTAGGGATGTGATTATTGACCATCTATTCAGCACTGGTGAGGACATATCTGGATTATCGCATCCAATTCTAGGCCCCCCATTATAGAAAGAATGTGGATGCATTGGCGAGAGTCCAGTGCAGGGCAACAAAAATGATTAGGGGGCTGGAGCATATGACTTAAAGGAGAGGCTGAAGGATTTGGGCTTATTTAGTCTATAGAAGAAAAGAGGGAGGGGGAAGGGATTTGATAGCAGCCTTCAACTACCTGAAGGGGGGGTCCAAAGAGGATGGAGAGAAGCTTTTCTCTGTGATGATAGATGACAAAGAGGAGCAATGGTTTCAAGTTTCAGTGGGGGGAGGTCTAAGTTAGATATTAGGAGAAACTATTTCACTAGGAGGGTGGTGAAGCACTGGAATGGGTTACCTATGGAGGTGGTAGAATGTCCATCCCTAAAGGTTTTTAAGTCCTGACTTGAGAAAGTCCTGGCTGGGATGATTTACTTGGAATTGGTCCTGCTGTTAGCAGGGGGTTGGACTTGATGACCTCCTGAGGTCTCTGTCAATCATATGATTCTGAGATTCTCTGCATAGCTTGATATTCTTAGCACTGCACTTTCAAATACAAATACAGTACGGGGGGTCCCTGCTATAAGTCGCCCCGGTATACATCTGTTTGACACTAAAGTTGTTGACCTTTGTAGTAACTGATGCGTTATAAGTCCTCCCATTCCCTGCTATAAGTCATGTGAAACACCCCTCCCTCCCTTCCAGTTTGCTTAAATGGAATTCAGCCGCGGGAAAAAAATTTCCCCCTTTAAGTTGTTTCACTATAAGTCCAAGTTTTTTGGAACGTATCTTGGACTTATAGCAAGGACCCCCTGTAGTCATTTCCCTAGTCATGGAGCAGTGGGCATTGCGAGTTGGAGAGTCCAAATAGGGAAAAGTCATTTAGCTTTCGTTAATGATAGTTAAGTTAGTTTTTACTTTTTTCAATATCTAAACATAAAACTTGCATCAAGAGTCAAACATTGTATAATTGCTCACTCAGTTTGGATGGCCAGATGAAAAAGCCATGGGGTACTGCAGGTGTTCAGTATCTCTGGAAATTGGGATCATATGCATTTTCACATTGAATTACTCAATGCTAGTGAACATGTTCAAAATGTTGTTCCTAGCCTTAGTACTTCCCTACTGCACAGATGTGTTGTGAAACTTTATTCCTTAACATTTGTAAATTTCTTTGAGATCCTCAGATGGAAGAAGCTAATAGAAAAATATATTAGAATGAAGTTAGAAAAGTATAACTCAATCATACTATTCTGTTCTGGCTTGTTTTTGTTGACATGTTAAAGAGTCGAAGGAGAGATTTTTAAACTAAACATACCCAAGGGATTTAGGAGCACAGGCTTTTATTGCCTGTCAGTGGGATTTGTGCCTTCAACATCTCTTGTGCATTTAAAGTATTCAGAAAATCCTCTTGCTTCTGTTCCTTTAAAATCCACAGAATGATGCCTGTTTGCCTGTGCACATCCATAGGGCTTTTGAAAAAAAAAATCCAAGCAATCTGAAAATCAGGCTTGATTATTTATTTAGATTCAAAGTAATAAATACACTTATGCAAGGCTCTAGGTAGGGATGTAAATGACCTGCTTCCTCTGCAGCAGAGGCAGAAAAAGTGGGGAAGAGGAGCCAGTGCTGGGCAAGCCAGCTTAAAAGCTGGTTCCCCCAGCATCGTCTCCACAGTGCTGCCTGTCTCATCCTTCCCCCCACCCCTCCTCCGAGGCAGCGGTGGGAGGAATTGCGGGTAGGGGAGGCTGAGCAGCAGCCCCTGTCCATAGGGCATCCCAGTGGTTCGGAGTACTGCTACTCTGCGTTTTAAACGTAGTAAGAGCCACCCAGCTCCTATTACATCTAGTCTGCAGAGCTGCAGCGGAGGTAGCTGTTGGATCTATGTGACTAATCATGTAGTCTATGCAAACTGTATCAACTACACGATTAGTCTGTTACCCGCCTCCTTACATCCTTAGTTCTAGGGACCCTAAAAGTCTCAAAAGCATTAAAATGAATTCCATAGGATGCCAGCCAGCCATCTACCCTTTTCCACTAGGAGGTATGCCACTGGTTTTCTCTAAAGACCCTATCAAACAGGTGTCATTTGCAGTGTGCTTAGAAAGTAACCAAATTTGAGGTATTACAGACTCAGTGAGGGAGTCATTTCCAGAGTCTAAGGGTACGTCTACACTACAGGCTTTTGTCGACAGATACTATTGACAAAGCTTCTGTCAACAAAGAGCATCTAGACTACATCCAGTTCTGTCGACAAAAAGCAAGCCGCTTTGTCGACATGACAGTGTAGACACAAAGGACAGTGTAGATGAAATAATGCCTTCTGTCAACAGAATTCTTTCGACAAAAGGCGTTGTTCCTCGTTGAATGAGGTTTACAGCCGTCAGAAAAACTGCTGAGTTCTGTCAACGTTATGTCAACAGAACTCAGCGGCAATGTAGACGAAGGTATAGTTTTGTCAACAAAAGTCCACTCTCTCTGGGTGGCTACGTCTACACTGGCCCCTTTTCCAGAAGGGGCATGTTAATTTCAGAAGCCGTAATAGGGAAATCCGCGGGGGATTTAAATATCCCCCGCGGCATTTAAATAAAAATGTCCGCCACTTCGAAGTAGGAATAAGATTCTCCGGAAAAGGGCGCTTTTTCCGGAGGATCGGGGCCAGTGTAGACGCTCTTTTCCGGCTTTTTTAAAAGCCGGAAAAAAGCGGCGGACATTTTTATTTAAATGCCGCGGGGGATATTTAAATCCCCCGCGGATTTCCCTATTACGA